CTACTTCACAGTGAGCGCGCGGGCGTTTTAAATGTACCTTTTATCGCCACGGAAAACCTTCCATCACCCTATACACACACTTCTCCATTACTCTGAGATAAAAGCAGGAACTGATTTTGAAGAACTACCGTGGTTTGGTTAAGAACGAGTTTCCTACTTAGCACAAAATTCATTTTGTGTTCATAGTTTCCCTTGTTTTATTATGTTCTTGTCCAAACCTCTTATCTTGTCACTCATGTTGTGTAGCCTTTACCACCGATGAGGAAAAGAGAACAGACTGAGAGCATTGTTAGTGACAGTGGTCCTTCCAAATATCAAGCCAAAAAGCAGAAAAAAGCAGCAAGGAAAAATAACAAATTACAGAAGTACAGAAGGAATGAGAAAATGGATGGGTGTCTCACCATTTTAGAGGAAACAGCGAAAGCACCTGATGGCCTAGAATCTGGTAACTTAGAGAAAATATTACTTTGTTTTGCCTAATTTGTTTCTGTTTCTTATGAAATTATTGATTGTTTCAGAAGAGAGCGATGCTGATGTCGAAGATAATGTAGAACAGGATACTGCTGACCCAGCAGAGGGCAGAGAAGTGGTGGTGGAGTCGGGGTATAGCTCTGAAAAACAAAACACCGGAGAATCTGATGGAACAAGCCCTTCAATCACTACTGGCAATGAGGAAGCTGAAGAGATTGTGGGGAAAGTGGATGCAACTTCTCCTCCCGCACCGGCCTCTCCTGATGTGTCTGCCACTGCTTGTTTTTCTCCTTCAGCACCTGCATCCCCAACTGTTTCCACGTCACCAGTTGCACCTGAGTCTCCCACAGCCCCTGTCTCGGCATGCGCCTCAAGCTCTCCCAGCCCCATCATGCGGCAGAGGACAAGTGTATCTGTTGAGGATTGGTCCACCTTTCACACTCCTGAGCATGTTTGTTTGGGCAGCCCTTGTACTTACAACTGCAAAGCTAACGGCGAGATGAGATGTTTCACTCCAATTGACGAGGAACTTCGAATAACTATTCCCGAGAGTGGTGAGGGCTCAATTCACATCTCACCCGTAAGTCATTCTGAGCGGCCAGTGTCTCGCCGCGGCTACTTTCCTGGTGACAATTGTACAGAAGGGGGTGTGGCACCCGACTTTACTCCAGAACTCGAAAACAGGCTATTGTCTTTGTGCCTAAATGACAATCAAGATTGCTCACCAGAGAATGCAATCAAAGCTGAAAAGACGTTTGATCTGTGTGAAAATGCAGAAAGCCTACAAAGTATAAAAGAAGAGAATGGCAATGACACCGATGACCTGGAGCAAAAATCTAGCCTTGCGCATGACCATGATGGAAACATTGAACCTATCGGTGAAACCTTCAAAGTTGGAGATGCCATTGAACGCAAAGATGATGTGAGTGACTGGTGTAAGACATTGGCTCCCAGGCACCAGTCTGAAGAGGGAGATTGTTCTGTAACATCTTGTCTTAACCAATTCACATCACTTGAACTTATGACTGGGAACAACAAAGTTGGCTGTGATGCTTGTACACAAAAGCAAAATAAAGGTTTGTATCTAGGTATTTAGGTTGTACAGTATGTTTTGAAACATATAGCTGCCTTATTTTCTGTGACTGTTTAATTCTAATTTTTAGGTTCCGAGGGGAAAACAGTCTATACTAATTCAACTAAACAGTTACTTATTAGTTCACCCCCACCTGTGTTAATTTTACATCTTAAACGCTTTATGATGGAGAACTTCAGGTTCAAGAAGCTGCAGCGTTTTGTCAGTTTTCCTAAAGACCTTGATATTGCTTCGTTCTGTTCCACTAAGAGCAAGGTAATGTTGTTAATGTCATTTATATATCAAACAATGAGCTATCTTTGATCCCTCCCTATTCAATTTTAATTCTTTGTTTCAGGATACTCCCTCCATTGGAGAGTCACAAACAGAAGTTCAATATTCCCTATTTGGAATTGTAGAACACACTGGGTCCTTAAACACAGGGCATTATGTTGCTTACATAAAGGTAAGATCTGTAATCATTATTTTCTTAAAATTTTTATAGTACTGCTGTATAAAAGTGTAATTTATATTTTTATTTGTAGATCCGTTCTGACCTTGAAGAAAATGATCCACGGTGGGCCTACTTACCTCTCACTCGAGACTTTGTATATCCACATGTTGATAGTTCTGTCAAGGAATCCACAAACAAGGGTAATATTGAAGAGAAGTGGTACTCCATAAGTGATTCCAGGGTAGTTGAAATTGCGGAAGCCAAAGTTTTAAAAGTGCAAGCTTACCTTTTATTCTATGAAAGAATTGTGTAAAAATTCATATTTTTTTGAAATTTGTAAGTTAAGGTGAATCAATGTACAAGTTCCTCTACCTTGTTAAAACTATCACAAAACTGTGTAGACGGAGATACACTGGAAGTTAGCCATTGAACTATCAGCTACTTAAGCCATGTAAATCAAAAGATTTAGATTTCTATCTAAAATTTTTCATGATTGGTAGCATTCCTGATCTTGGTTCCATTGTATCTTGTATTCCAATACATAGTAGAGTACGCATTGTCAACAATTATCTGTGATATTCTGTGCTGTTGATTCTGTTAATATAGGTATATTGGTGATTTATTAAGTTTTTCTGGTGAATTTTTATTACTTCTATATGTTTTACATCTTCTCTTTGTTTAAAAATCTAGACAGTCAATTTCTCTCTTGGTTTATTAGCACTCCTTGCAAGTAAAAAAAATGTGTTACCTGACTTAAACTGTATTGCATTGCATGTTTCAATTTTATTTTTAATTACCGGTAGCCTATAGTTACAATACCTTTGGAAATTGGCATCTAGTCAAATATTATCGTACACCGTACCTTTGTGCGTCATTGTACTAGTGTGGCTGTAATTGTAATTTGAACTAACCAGCAAACTGTCATGAAATGTGCTGAACTAATTATTTTAGGAATTTTTCTCATATCAGATAAACACTCAGAAGATTCAGTACATGTCTTTTTATTTTATTTAATCTATCTGTGCTTTGCACCTACATTTTACACAGTAATTTGGTCACATTTCTGTCATTTCTTCAAAAGAATCCTACCCAATACAGGGACAGGGGCAGGGAAATTACAAAATACTTGTAGCAATTAGTTACAACCTAATCTTTAGTTGATTGAAGTATACCAGTAATTCTTACAATTATTAATTTGATTGATGAAGTGACACAACATACAGTTACACTTAATTTTAATAGTATTAAATAAAAGTTAACAAAAATGGTAATTGCCATTTTGTGTGAAATTACCCACTACAATCTGTAAAATCAATGACTAGCTAGTGAGGACAAGATCCAATATCAAAACGTATTGTTGGGACTGTCATTTCTGTGGGTTCCGACATTCACACACACATTTTTGTGAGATTATCATTACTGTACATACAGTTACTAATAATTTTTAAGAAAACAAATCTTAATTGTTTTTTTTTCATACAAAATGAAAAGGGATACCAGGCGAAACCTAAACTATTTCAATGATAATTACTCAATTTAATGACTAGACTTAAACCACCCAGTGAGAAATCAAAATCGATGTGACATCGAATCGACATCAAATAGATGTCAGTTATCGGAAATGTCTCGATTTTAAGACCATCTCAGGATCGATTCGACACGATAATCGACAATTTACCGACAACGATATCAGTCTGACATCATTTCGATGTAACTGTTTCTCACTGGGCAATAGCTGAATCGAGGCGATCTGGGCCATGCCATACGCAATTTTTCTCCTGGACTCCACGAACTCACCAAGATTGAGACAGTCAACTACATTGTGCATCTACCACATCATCATTTGCCAATTCAATCATCACGGATTCACTCGAATGACTTGATGATTCAGCAATGGGGGAGAGCGTTCAGTTAGCCTACAGTCTACCTCCGACTCCGTGTACTTCAACTTCAACCGCTGGTTCCCGACGGCGGCGGCCTCGCTCCCGGGGGAGGCTCCCCTTCCCGGCCGTCGGCGCCCGAGCCCGCCGGGCCGTGGGCGTCGCTGGACCAGACCCTGGAGTGGCGGCCCGCCAGGAAACTGGCCTCGGACGTGCACTGCCAGTCGGCGAGCAGGCTGTGGAGGCGCGGCCGCGCGCCCAGGTGGGGCACGTCCAGAGGCGCAGAAGGAGCGGGCGGCCCTTGGGGACCCTGGTGACGTTGGGGCTCGCGGTGGTCACTATCGCTGCCGGAGGACGGTATTTTTACGAGGCAGCAGGCGCTGCCGAGCCCCGGGTCGGAGGCCGAGGGCGCCGTTGCAGGCAGGGGGCCGCGACGCACACGAGGCGGCACCTCCCTGTCCGGGAAGTCGAAGGCGTTGTCGTTCTCGTCGAGGTCGGCCTGCACCATCCTCGCCAGGCTCCAGAACGGCTGGAACGGGGAAGGCGCGGGCCACGTGGCCGCGGGAGCTGGCACACCCACGTCCTCGCGGGCCTCCTCCGCCACCTCGAGCAGGGCGTCGTCTTGGACCAGAGTGCTGGACGCGTCCTGGGCCGCGAGCGGACCGGGCAAGGCCTCTTCGACCTCAATCTCCTCCACTTGGTCCTGACGGGGGGCGTGTTCGTCTGGGCGCACGTCTGGCGGCGCCTGCCCTTGCAGACGCAGCACGCTGCTCGTCCACAGCTTGAACCAGGACATCGCCCGGGAGGCCCTGGGCCTGGACCGCTTGGTGGTGCCGCGGCCCGGGCTGTGTCCCTCCAGTCGCCGCTTGGCGGGCCCTCCCCCCGACGCGCAGCGAGACCGCGGCCCCGCCATCGCGCCCTCCACCAGGTCGTCGCCGTCAGCCTGGCGGCACGACAAGCGCCTCCGCGGGCCCTTCTTGGTGTGGTGCAGCGCAGACGGACGCTCGGTCGGCTGCGACCGGGCGTTCGACCACTCCGCCAGTCGCCCCGCCAGCCCGTCCTCATACGTGGCGGCGAACATCGGCGTCACGGCGAGCTCGCCCGGGCCCGCGTCGAACGGCGGTGGCGGCGGCGGCAGCGGCGGGGGCGTGGGCGGCGGGGACGGCGGGCGCGGGGGCGGGAATGGCTCCGCGTTCTGGCTCTGCGAACACCACCGCTTCGCATTAATTAACAACATATATGCTGTACAGCATCGTTCGCAAAATTTTCAGTACAATCTTCCAGAAAGTAAGGACAAAACGCTTAAGTTACTGTCTCCCAAACCCCGACCCGCTACCCTTACACCGCTTACCTCGAGCCCCAGCGCACTGTCGCCAGGCACGGCACGAGGCTCTGGCCCCGGCCCTCGGCCCCGTTGGTGGTGACCGAAACACTCGCCCTCCAGGTGAGAAACCCTGGACGTCAACAGAAGCGTCACACAAACAAAGAACCTCTGGGGGAACCGAGTCACAGAATATTATTACCTAATAATCAGGTTGCTATCTTTATTTATTTTTAGATCACCTCGAAAAATGATTAGCAATTGCGCCCAACGTATTTCATGGTACTCCCTGAGCCAACCATGAGATGGTTGCAATTCTTGCAATTGCTAATCATCTTTTGTGGGTGAGTGAAGTTCAAAGATATTTTAACTGCAAACTACCAATAATGAAAAAAACATAGGTAAAGATAAAAATATTTAATAAAAGCAACAACTAGAGAGAAGAGCATATAACATAGTGTACTCAAGGGAGGACTTGAGCTTCTTCTCTGGGGAAGAGGTATCACGTCAACTGGAAATTTATATTGAAGCAAGTTAATTAGAATAAGAAGAGCAAAAATAAGCGATTTTATTTTAGCGAAAAAAATAATTACCGTGCTCCGGCAGAGAGCATGCAGTCTCCAGCTTGGACGGGGAAGTCCCATCAACCAATAAGGCATTATACTGGAAATAATGAGGCGTAAAATATAATAAAAACTATGAGCATAATAAAGTGGAAAAACCTGGGGTGGCTGACTGGAGTCGTCAACTTGGCAGTTTCACCGCACCGTGCCTAATGCGCGCGCGTCTAGTCAATTTTACTCCGTGCTAGGGTTGGAAGCCCTGGAAAATTTCCGGAAAAGTTAAAGTTTTCAGGAAATTTCAGGAAAACCGGAAAATTTCTGGGGAAAACTGAAAATTTCTGACTTTGGAAGTTTTCAGTTATCTTCCAGAAATTTTCGGAATTTTGTTTTTTTAAAATTTCCAACCCTTTGTGTATCAGCCACTTTTTGGCCAGATGGGACGGCGGCAGGCAAATCCCCCGGGACGGTACCGATCAGCCACCTGGTAAAGGTGGGTCCACAATGAACCTCCACCGCGAGGTCGTAACCGACGAGCGAAGGGGACGTCGCGCGCAGGGATTAGAGATTTTCATTTTCCGGAAACTTTCAAGTTTTTCGAAGACAAACACGTTTTTTGGAAACTTTTCCGTGATAATTTGGGAAAAATCAAAATAAGGGCATTTTTACAAAACTTAGGTCATTTTCCGTGTTTTTTTGTTTTGTTTTTTTAATTTTTTTCCCCGCAACGTTTCCTGTTTTTTCCCAGCCTTCAAATCTCTGCCAGGGGGAACGTTATAACGGGCGCCGAAACGTGTTAGCCGCGCAAGCCCGGCGCGTCCCGCCCTAGGCGGGTCCAAGGCGGGCCGCCGGCTCCACACAGCTGCTCGGCGGGCTGGCCCACCCAGCGCTTGGCAGGCGCTATGGGCGGGCCGCGCCGGCCGCCAGTTCGGGCTCGCCCTCACGTTGAGCGCGAGGTGAACTGGAGCACGGTTATGATTGTCTTTGGCTCAGAAGAAAAGCGCCTTCTGACGTTTCCTCGCGTCGCCTACTCCTACACAAGCGGGGAACGACACCTCCGCGGCGGGAGCGTTCATTTGTGGACACGCCCGTCTAAGAGTATGTAAAAATAAATGAAGCGAAGGCAAAAAGGCAATCCATTCCAAACGATATCTAGAATGAAGGGGACACCGCGACCTGTCCCATTCCCAACCCACGTCTCCGAAGAGATCCGTCGGGCCGCGAGTTGACCGTTACGTCCAGGAGAGAGGAACGCAAACATCGATGCGAAAAGGGAATATTTTTGGTGACATTGTTTGTTTTACTATTTTGTTTCAGTAATTTGTCTGCTGGTTAAAATTGCACTGGCCAAGTGCGGGGGAGGTAAGATGTAATAAAATGCGTTTAATACAAATGACCCGTCCATTGTAGTTTTATTTCTTTAAAATAACGAAAGAAAACAAACACTTTATACTGTATGGTCAAAATGAGAGGGTGTGGATTTTGACTTGAATGTGTCCATGGCATGGACCCTGCAGTTTGGATGTGGGTGGGTGGGGGAGTCAAAAACTACCCTTCGTTCCCGCAGAAAGCGAGTTTTAAAAGTGCATTTTTAGAATGTCGCATACTTTAAATGCGTGACTATCTTTTTTTTCGTAAAGCAGCATTATGCTGCGCACACTTCGGCTGGCGCGCAAGCGCCTTAGATCTAAGCGGCCAAAGACAAGCAGTGCGCAGCCTAAATCAAGTCTATCCTTTTAAAAAGAAATCCCACTTACTTTACGGACGATCAAACAGACACCGTATGGCATGGTTGTCGGAACAAACTAAAGAGAAACACATCAAAAGCCATATCAGACACATAGAGATGACTACGACTGCAGCAAAATTAAGTCACATGCATTAAAAAAATGTTGTGAAAAATCAACAAACTTTTAAAAGTGGTCCAAAGTACAAAATAATATTTTCTTTAAAAAAACATATAGAGACAGAGAGAGAAGTTGATGAATTATCTTGGTCAGGTGTCGTGGCTAAGACCGGAAATCGCTCTGGACAGCGGGGAAGCCGAGGGGAAAGCCCCGCGGTCCTGGAGACAGAGCAAGTGAACAGAAGACCCGGCTCGGCTCCGACGCCGCTGACTCACCACTGCTCGCCGCCCGCTCCAGCTGCTGCAGCGTTCCCTTCAGCACCTGGGGTCTCCTGCAGCGTCGCCTGGAGACGGCCCTCTTGGAGACGGCCCTCCTGGAGCGCCCACATCTGTGGAGAGGATCCTTGAGTTTTGAAAAGATGACCAAGAGGATAAAGAAGATTTCAGTGCAAAGGAGTACTCGCCACGGCGTGCGCGAGCGCTGACCCAGCGCTCGCATGCTGAGGGTGAGGGTGCGCCAGGGCGAGGTGGTCGCCGGCGGCGGCCACGGCCAGCTGAGGACCGGAGCTCATTTCCGGTAAGGGTGATGAGGGTTCCGGCTTTGTTTCCGGGTCGGGGTCGGGCCCCACCTCGTGGGTGGCACGCTCGAAGGCGCGCTCGCCGCCCGCGGCGCCCTGCAACTGGAGTTGCGTCCGGAACCGGTGGGCGATGCAGGCCGTCGAGTCCCTACACGTCGTGCCGTCGACGGCGTCCTCGAGCAGGGTCGGCCGGGACAGGCAGTACCTGCAGCAGACAAGGTCCGGGGCGGGCGGCGGGCCGGGGAAGCTCTCGGGCGTCCGCTGTGGGGACAGGTCGAGGGGGACCAGGTCGCCGACGAGTGGCATCGGCTCGGGACGCGTGGCCGTCGGGGCAAGGGCGGCGGGAAGGAGCAAGCCGGCGCCGTTGGGGGCAGTGTCCACGAGCAGCGGAGGTGACGGGGGCCTCGTCGGCGGTGGCGAGACGAAGTGCAGGTTGGGGGAGGGCTCGGGCGGCCGGATGATGGGGGGCGACCCCGGGGACCAGCGGTACGTCGGGGAGGTCTGGTCGGGGTGCTGGGGCACTGCTAGCGGGTCCACGGCGAGCTCGCTGCGCTGCTCGAAGAAGTCGTCCAGCAGCCACCTCCTCTCGGCAACTTCGTTGGCCTCGTTCTCCAGCGGCACGACGTCCTCGTCCAGGTCGGGGCCCACCGTGTCCGCGGCCACGAACAGGAGCCCCCGCAAGGACTGCGCCTGCAGCCTGCAGCACAGATACGTAGTTGGGTATTGAGAGCACGATAGAGAGATACAGAGAGACAGAGACTGAGAGAGGAGAGGCAGAAACAGAGTGTACATGACACCACGGCCACGGAGCTCACCTCTCTCGCGCGCCAATGGAGGGTGAACTGGAGGACTGCCAGGACGGGCGGCCGGGGCACGGGTGCGACGGCCGCACGCCCCCCGCCGCGGTCCGCATGTGCCTGCGCGCGGCCGCGGCCGCCTGCTGCGCGCGCTGCTCCTCGGCCGCCCACTGCGCGGACAGCGCGCGCGCCAGCCGCTCGTCCGCGTCGATCTGGGCCTGCCGCACAGGGTCCACGGGAGCGGCCGCGGGGGCGGGTGAAGCCACCGGCCCCGCCGCCGAGTCGCCGTCGCTGAAGGGCTCCTCGTTCTCGTCGTTAGCGCCGCTGTCCAGGAGGAACTCCTGGAGGGTCTGCGGGCCGGCGTCGACACGCCGTGGCGAGTCGCGGAGGCTGCGATGCGCGCGTGGTGTAGTGTCCCGCGGCGAGCAGGGCCGCGTGCGCGGCGAGCGTGGGCCTGGCTCCAGGACGGTGGCGAGCAGCGCTGCCTCGTCGTCGGCGTCCTGGCCCAGTGACAGCGCTACAGCGATCTCCTCGTCGTAGCGCGTGCGCAGCCGGCTACGGCCGCTGCCCTGGGAGTCGTCCGAGTCCGAGTCGCCGGCGGGCGACGGCCGGCTGAACGCGGACCTCACCCCGAATCGCGCGCCGCTGGTTGTGGACGTGGAGGTGGACGGCCCCTCGAAGGCCGGCGGGTAGGAATCTGGCGGGGCCTTCGAGGACGACTCTGGGACGCAGCAAGCGAACGCCGAGCCCGCCGAGCAGAATGTGGCCTCGGCGGGTCCGGCCGGTGCAATCGGCTCCGACCACGGGGACCTTGGCTCGGGGCGGAGACGGTCCCGGGCGGCGGGTATGGACAGCTCCCCGATGACATCGACGTGCAGGGGCGCGTCGAGGGCGGGTCGCAGGGTGGCCTTGAGGGAGGGCCAGGAGCGCCGGCGCCGCTTGGAGGACCGGGCGTCCGGCGAGCCACGCCGGCGGCTAGCGGATCGCCGATGCGGGGTGCGCGCGACGCGCTGCCTAGGGCTGCTGGGCCGGGAGCTGGGCTGGGAGCTAGACTGGAGGGAGGGGGTGACATGCATCAGGGGTTGCACCGGCAACGTTGGCTTTGTTGGCCGCGTCGGCTGCGTCGGCTGCGTGGGCTGCGTGTGCTGCGTCGGCTGACAGTGCGCCGAGGCTGCCTGCTGCGCGAGCAGGATCCCGTTGAGCCGCTGCAGGTACTCGGGCACAGCGTCCTGGACGGCGGCGGAGCCCGCGGCGGCCTGGCCGAGCGCGACCTCACGCACAGCGCGGCACACCGGCCCGATGAGCAGCTCGTACCGCAGGTCCTGGATCACGTGCTTCAGGCTGCGCACGGACATCCTGAGGGGCACGTTGACGAGGGAGAGGTCGTCGGTGTCCGAGACCCGCCGCTCCAGGGCCGCCGCGGCGGCCGCCATGCGTCGGGCCTCCTGCAGCCCGACGGCCTGCTCGAGGGCCTCCTTGAGCGTTGGGGCGGTGCTGCTGCCGGCGCCTGGCCCCGGGGCCGAGGCGGGCCAGGGCGGCGGGGTCGGCGGCGGGGTCGGTGGCGGCTGCAGGGTCGGCGCCAGCCTGCCGCGTGAGGCGCTATGGGCGGCCTTGCCTGGCTTGCCCTTCTTCTTCTTCTTGAGGGTCTTGCTCTTGACCTGGAAGAGGCGCTTCAGCACGCACTGCTTCGCGGGGTCTGGCTTGGAGGAGGGCGGCATGTCTGACTCAGGGGCGTCCCGAGGCCGAGGAGGTACCTGCGGAGGGGAATGTGATGACGGTCATGGTCATCTGGCGTATGTACCTGCGAGAGTGTGCGTCCGGATTCTCGAAAGCTATCGCTACGAATCGGTCGAATGATCCGACACACCGGGGCTTCAGAGGGGCAACCATCCTTCGCGAAGAGACGTCCCCCGCGGAGGACCGCAGACCACGACGTCCTCTAGCGAGCGATGCCTAGTCAGAAATTTTTCCGACGATATTGTTTCGGTATCGTCGGAAAAATTTCTGACTGGGCATCGGTCGCGGGTTGGATCCTCCCCTCTCCTTCACCATTCCGATTCGCAACCGATTCAGGGCGATACCCTAGCGATTGAGAATTTGTACGACTTGAAACATTTTGACGAAATGAAACATTTTACCTGCTTATAGTTTCCCTCTTCTGCCTCGTCATTTGAAGTTGATGACGACTCGTCAGAAGGCTCCCTTTTACAGAAACACAAGAAGATAACAAAGTAAACAACAGTGAGTCGTTACATTTACAAAACAACAATAAAAATGCAAAACGAGTGCACCAAAATTGCAGCGCAGAATGCCCAGGGGAATGAATCGAGGGGTCCTTCACTATAAATTCTAGCGTACACCGACTTTTCAGTTTTTCTTGATTTTTTGTGATTTTTCTTGATTCTTTGTGATTTTTTCTGATTTTTTGTGACTTTTTGTTGATTTTTTTCTGATTTTTTGGCGTTATTTTTATGATTTTTCCGTGAATTTTTCTTAGGATGTACACTACTGTTTTTTTTTTTTGAGTGGAGGACCCCTCGGAATGAATTTTGAGATCGCGTTGTTTCGCCCAGCACACATGGCGACGAACACTGCCCGGTCAAAGCATTATTGAGGATGCTCCGATCAAGAGCATTCGATGCAGAGCGGTGGCATACATTAGACGCTCGACGTCAGCAGTGCCTCTCTCTCTCTCTCTCTCGGCCCGTTCGATACGATTCTGCATCATAGCCCGAGCCTCCTCGCCCACCGCGCGCCCGGCCTCGCCCCCTCACTGCGAAATAAAATGGGCTACCCTCCCCTTTCCCTCCCTCCGCACCAACCCCTCAACCCACCTCTCTCTAGCCGGGCTACGGAGTGGGGGTATACACCGAGGGGCTCACTCAGGCTCACTGAGCCCACTCTCGATTTGATTCCGTGTACGGCAGACAATGAGGCGCCGTTTCACGGAAAAGAAGATGAAGGTTAATGCAGACAGACAGACAGACAGTGTACGGCAGACAATGAGGCGCCGTTTCACGGAAAAGAAGATGAAGGTTAATGTGTTGTCTGTCGGATGTGCTCCCGGACCGTACATCCGCGCTGAGCCCCACCCCACCCAAGGCGGCCGCCAGCCGCCACGTTAGAGGTCGTCGAGAGGGTGTGGGACTGGACACAATAGGTGTACATACCGGGAAACAATCATCATGACGCAATCGGAAGCAATTAAACACAATCGGAAACAATCACACGCACAATC